AATTTCAAATGTCTCGATTTTAAGCTCTGTTTGACTTCTTTCTAGGTGGGAAATTTTCTTCGAGTTTTTATTAGTTCAATTTACCAGTTAACCACCAATTCTGGATTTTACTTGAAGCATAAGGGACATGATCACGAATAACACAGTAGCCATCATTTGAAATCTACAGAAGGTATTGTGGTTATTCAAAAAGTGAGCAACTAGTGAAAAGAGAAGTGACTTCACCTTACATATTTCTACTTTTTTAATTCAGATTTCTTTAGGGCCAAGGCACACATAAAATAATTTGTAACAGCTATAAGTAGCCTCAGTTTCTAGCCAACACAAGTTCAAGTGAGTTTACATATCTCTAAAAACCTGTGGTAAATTTCCCTCAGCATCTGGTATTCCTTTTGTTACTAAGCACTGATAACATCTAAAAGACTATTTCTCTAGGTGTGGAACCGCTATTCGTACCAGAGTTAGTGATCCGCTAAGAAAGCTTAATAACTATAGGTCAGATCGATTCAGCATAGTCAGTTTTTACTATCAGATAGGAAGGGCTGCTGCCCAAGATGTACTTAGTTTAGCAAGGGAATTATATCCTTAAAGTGCATATATATTCCAATCCTAGAGCACCAAGAACACTCATTACTGGGACAGCCTTTATATATAGTGCACGTGCTGAATTACGATTGATTCAAAAGTGTAATTTTATTGATAAATGTATGCAACAAAATAGCTGGAAGCTGCTAAATGATACTCCTATATAGTAGCAACAGTGCAAGTGTGTAACACTTGAAGAAACCTTCATCCCAATTCCCCACCCCCCTCTCAAGGAAGAACCATACAAAAAGCTTCAAGGTTAAGGTTTCCTTTTCCTCATTTGCTTCTAATAAATAGCCTAACACAAAATTCAAATAATCCATGCCAAAATTTTATATCAAAAAATTTATTTATCAAAAACCAGAAGAGTGACATGAAGATAATGACAACAGGCAAGTCGAAGAACCCAGCCAAGGAGGGGACGGCAGCTTATAAATACCAACAAAATGACTGACTTTGCGGTGAATTTTTAACACAGTACTACTGCCTGAATCCCACTAAAGAGGTGTCTAGGGAGGGTAAGCTGTAGAAGATCATACCTTTTACAGGCCTCTCAAAGAGGCAAATACTTTCATACACCTTCAATTGAATTGGAGACACAATTAAGATTTGAAAAGATCATGAGAACCCCATATCAAAAGGCACAGATCTTGGAAAAAAGAGACCTCAGGCTGAGGTCCACTACATGAATCTTCAGGTGTTATGATGCCTAGCAAGTAGTAAGGGACATATCCCCAATTTTCCCTACAACAGATGTTCCCTCTTTCAAAGACTCTTCTAATCCTCTGAAGTCTTTAGACCTCGCAACTGTTGCAAGTAAGCAACAAAACCTTCTCTTGACACGCTGAATCCATCTAAAGCTTAACTAAGGTATGACCCTATATTTTCCAACTTTTAGTATGTGTTCAATGATAATCTTGGAAATTGTTTGTAGCATTCACTTTTATCTACAAGCTTAAAGATTGATCTAGAGATGCATAAAATATTCAAAGGCTACTGCTGTGGATTATATAGTGCATCACACTTATCCCAGCCAACACAGAAAAAAAGAGCAAGGGGGTCAATGAAAAACCAACGTACCACCCAACGTTCACTTATCACACATCTCAAGGAAAGCAACAATGTAAATTATGAAGCATCAAAGACACAAGCAAGCATTTAACAAGTACCACAAGCATGATGTTTGTTAGCTTGCGAGAGGTTTATATCAATTTTGTTAGGCAGGCAAAACCCTGTTATAAATTGTTCTTATAAGGTAATAGTAACAAGTGATAATTGCCTACCCCAAACTCTGGATCCGCAAGCCAAGTAACCTGGGGTTTGTCACTTTACACTTCCTTGCAACAAAATCCAGGAACTCCTGGATTACAACCTTCTGGTTCTTACTATAAAACAGCAAAAGATAAGAAACTACTTGGTCGCTTGTAATCTTGTACACTTCCTCAATATCTTTGCTAAGAGAGAAATAGTGCATGACAAGGGGGTGCCGTAAAAAAGGACCCAACTCAAGCTCTTCAAACTTCTCAACACACTCATTCTTGCATATGGCCTCTTGCAAATCAAACAAAGATGTAATCTTGTGAACAGCCACATGACAGCGAATAAACGTATTGACCTAACATACAAAAAACACCACAATCAACAAATAAATTCATACCTAACATTTTAGGCAAATCCTTCTAAAATAACAGTTATAATAAATTATATTTGGGCATATACAAATTACATAAAACACAAAAAATTTCATAGATTAACCTGTGCTTCGACGAGGATAAGTTGGTGGAGGGAAGGAACTTGATGAAGCTGAAACCCTAAAGAATCCCAAGAGTCAGCTTGCAACTTAGCCAACGCGCACCGCGATAGCTTCCAAACGGAAACATGCTCTCCAGCTCCAATGATTTGACGTCGAGCACTCGCAACCGCGGTCTCAACCTTATCAAGAGTTTCCTTACGATCACCAGCATTCGGAAATTTGGGATTTGGGTGAATACTAATCGATTCACTGTTTCGTTGTTGATTTTGATTCTGCAAAGGAGGATGGCTAGGGTTGTTGTTGTTGTAGTTGTTCGTCGTTGCAGGAGATGATAAATTGGGATGATTCTGCGGAAATCCAATGGGATTATAATTATTATTATTATGATAGTGAACTCCAGGATTGTTCGGAATAGGGAAATTATTGTAGGAATTGGGGTTTTGAAATAATAAATTAGGGTTTTGGAATGGTAAATTAGGGTTTTGGAAAAGAGGGTTTTGATTGTTAGGGTATAAACCCATGCTTTGGAGAAGGAGGAGATTGGGATCAAATTGCTGCGGCGGAGGCTGAGGCTGAGGTTGTGGTGGAGGTCCACGACTTCCGGCGAAGCGTTGGGGGCAGTGGTTCTCCATTGAAGATAGTTTGAAGGTGGCGGGAAATAGTCTGAGGGTTTAAGCTTTAAGCAGGGGTTAAGGGTTTTGCAATTTTTTAGCATCCAAACAATATAAGGGTTAGTTTGGTCTTTTCTTATACAGTATAAGAAATGAGTAATGAACCAATGATATTTTGGGCCAATGTGCTAAATAAGAGCAACTCCAATAGTAGGCTTATAACTAGGGATATGCTTGTAATTTTAAATAGTTCATTTATACCTTTTAGCTACAACTCCTGATATCTAGCGGGGCAGACCGATGTTAATCACCGGTGCTACTAGCTTGACCATTAGAGGTAAATATGCAATTAGTTTAGCCAAGCAAATTAGCTAATTGACTTGGAAAAAACTTGCCAAAAAGAAAACTAGTAATTATGATGAAAATAATTAATTAATAATTTAAATAGTAAGCTATTAGCTAGCCATTGAGACTCAAATTAGCTAGAATGATTATTAGCTTGTTGCATGACAAGTTAATTTGACAATTAGCTTACCATTGGAGTTACTCAAATAATTTGCATCAAAAGTGGGAAAAAAAAAAGACAAATAATTATAGGAAGACTTTTCAATTGTGCAAAAACACATATAATCATTGTAATTATTTTAAATCAAAACCCTTATAACTTTAAATAGTTAATCTTTTTCGTTAGTATGAGAATTCGATTTGTTTTACTTTCACTAAATTGCAAAAATAAAAGAAAAAGAATCTACAAAATTAATGTTACTAATCTCATGAAACAATGGAAGAAAACAAAATGTTAATTTTTGGTCTTTAAGCTTTCCATATTTAAAGCAATTTTATCAATAAATCTCTCGTCTAATCCAATATGAATTCATGAGTTATGTCATACATAAAATCTTTACATATAAATAATTACCCTTTCCAATAAAAATAGAGAAAGATCTCATGAATGTCTTCAAACATAGCCGATTTTGGACTTTTTTGGACCCGAAAAGAAAACATGATGGAGTTACTCTCATGGACCTCGTAACATTCTAGGAGGCCATTTGAGTGTCTATAACTATCCACTATGCCTTTAAACGGTAAATTTAGTTGTTAAAGTACACGTCACATAATTGAAAATTACTCATTCTCGGGCCTTTTATATGAGACTTGTTTTGTTTCGAACCAACTTATATGACCTCATGGGACACCAATACGCACACAATAAGTTCAATTTTAAAAAATTATACCAAAATTGGCAAAAAACGAAGGGTAGCCTTCAAATTTGACAATTTAGGACTTTTTTTGACCCTTAAATGAAACATGTCGGGTTGCTCCCATGGACCCAAAAACACCCCGAGAGACCATTGGGTGGCTAGAACCATCCACTCTGCTTTTAAATGGAAATTTTGGTTGTTTTGGTATACGTTACATAATTGGAAAAAAAAAAAACTCATTATTGGACCTGTATAATTTATCAACACGGTGTTCCATATATATGACCTCATGGGACACCCCACACATCAAATTCAATTTTGAAATTTTTTACCAAAATTAGCCAAAAAGGGTGGATTACAACCTTTAACTTTGGCCAATTCTGGTCTTTTTTAGACTCGAAATGGAAACATGTTGAGGTTGCTCCTATACAACCCATAACACACCGAGAGGCAATTTGAGTAGCTAGAACCATCCACTTGCCTTTAAACGGTCGATTTGACTTTTTTGATCTTCGCCACATAATTGAAAAATACTCATTTTCGAGCCTTTATATACCTATGAATAGGAATTTTTTTTTTTGTTCCAAACCAAGTTACATGATGTTGTGGGATACCTCACGCATTCAGTTTATTTTTGAATATTTTTACGAAAATTGGCCAAAAACCGTTGATTATAGCCTTTAAATTTGATCGATTTTTGCGTTTTTTAAAATGCAAAAAGGAAACATATCGGGATAACTCGCATGGACCCTATAATACCAGTCTAGCAACTAATAGTCTAGCACCATCCATTTTGCATTTAAACAATCAATTGAGTAGTCTCATTGTTTCCAAATAAAAGTCTCAGGAGCAAGTGTACCATTGCAAGACGAGCGGGTTAACCCGATATCACCGCCAGACTGACACTCCTCAGTTCCTCACAAACTCCAACGCTGGATCACCTGTATCCCAAATTTCTCTTCGCTCTCCAAATTTAAACCCTAGCTCTTTCAATTCTGCGCAATTGAGAGCATGAGAAGGTATGACGTAGATCTCGAATTTGTTCTACTGTATAAATCGCTGGGTTTCTGCAATTCTAATTTTCGATCAAAATCGTTGTTTTAGGGCAGCAGAAATGGGGCAGAGAAGACGACAGCTGAAGCAATGGAGTGGAATAATGAAGGGGATGATTGGGAAGCTGATAATTGCCGCCATTGTTCTCGTCATTTGCACTTTCTCTCTCTTCACCTCAAGGTCCACTATCCGATCTACCACTAGAACCGAGGTCAGTTTCAGGTGAATTGATTTCCTTCCATCATTTTCGTATTTTGGATTTTTTTCATCAATTTGGTTATTGATACCCATTATTCATTTTTGAAATTGAAGTGATTGTATTTTTGGTTTAAAATGTTAATTGCTCAGCTAATAATTGGGGATTCCAATATAAGATGGTTTAAACTCCATTAATTGGATAAACACGACCCACAATTTATTGCATACTTACAACTAGAATATCTAAGAGCAACTAAAGATCAGCTGAAGTTTACTGCGATGACTCGAGGGACTATAATGTGGTTATAATCTAAAATAAATGTGATGATTTTGTGGATTGGCGAATGGATCAGTGATTTAATTTCCCTTCTTTACATCATGCAACCAAATTAATTAAAATCTTTGATCACCGTTTTGCTTGGTATTGGTTTCTGAAATTTTGAATTGTTGCTGATGCATTTATATGTTATTAGATATATACGGAGGATCTTTGGCAAGCTGCGCCTTCTGATGGCTGGAGACCTTCTTCTGCCCCTCGTTCTGATTGGCCTCGTAAGATTTTTCTGCTAGTGAAACAATGAGACTAGATTTTGTTTAATATCGAATTCAATGTGCTCCTTTACATTTACTCATTTTCTTCACCCCTATTTCCAATGCTGTAGCTCCCTCGTCTAGGACGAATGGGTATCTGCGTGTTCGCTGCAATGGTGGTCTGAATCAGCAGAGAACTGCAGTAAGTATCCTCTTCATTGACGTTATTTCGTTCAATTTCATGCTTCCTTTCTAGAAATTTGTAATTTTCTTTTGCATTTCTGGTTTTTGATAGTTTTGCTATTATGAGCTCTATGATATCTTCAACATTAAAAAATCTTTTAGTTGCTGGCTGATTACATACCTAGCAAAATTAATTATTCACATGTACATTTGTTAACATAATAAACTACTTTGATGTTTTGGGATAAAACTTCCTGAATAAAGCTAAGGTGGGTTGTTTAATACACATCAAAGGGATACTTCACTCTTAAAAAGAATTACATAATATTTGGATGTTGGTATATAAATTGTTAAATTAGGTAATGACTCTAGGCAATGAATTGGTAGCGCATTGCACCAAGCAATTTTTGAACGATGTCTAGTTTTTATCTAGAAGCTAGGGCTCCTAATAGTCAACTTCTTGAATAACTTAGATTCTAGTTTTACTACTAAGGAATAAATTGAAAGTATTCATGCACGTATGTCGCAAGAAATTTATTTGTATATTACTATTGTGTATCTTCTATTAACTTGTAGATGGTTTTCCCTTGAGAAATTTAGGTTTTTAACTTGATTATTCAACACTTTATAAATTCAGAATTGCCAAAGAAGACATTTAGTCATTGATATTTCTTAAAAGTTCATGTGGGATATCTAATGAATTAATATCTAATTTATTGCTGGTTTTATACCTTTGATTATTTTTTGGCTTTGGTAACGGATCTACATTGATCTGAAGTTGGTAAGTCAAAGCCGCCGGCATATTGTAGGTTACTTAGATGAAAGGGTTAGGCTCTGTCATCATATTAAATTGCTTGTATTAATTTTGTGCTCAGATACTCCTTAAAAGTGATTTTTGTGCATTTTTGTAATCCGTATTGCTTTCCATTGTCTATTTAATAATGCACAAGTGTGGGCTTGTCTCCATGAACTAACTATTTTATGTGATGTTACCCAGAATTCCCGTGTGTTTTCAGCAAGATGTTACTCTGTTTTACCTAACAATTGGCCTTATCTTCTGTAGATTTGTAATGCTGTTCTTGCTGCTAGAATCATGAATGCAACGCTAGTATTACCTGAGTTAGATGCCAATTCCTTTTGGCATGATGACAGGTATGTATCTTCATGTCAACTTTAAGTAACTTTAACAATTTTTTAGATTTATTAAGGGAACAGATAAGGAAGGGGAGTGTGATAAAAAGGCCATTCATTGTTTGGACAACAGAATTGTAAGAGCGAAGGGTTGACAAGGGTTATTTTTTATTTTTAACTCTTTGTTTCACTTTGCCCTATTTTCTCCGCCTCTTCCCTTCTCTCCCGGGTTTGGTTGTGTGAACTGCATTTATGTAATTCTTGAAACCGTAATACAGTGGATTTCAAGGTATCTACGATGTGGAGCATTTTATCAGAACTCTGAGATATGATGTGCGAATTGTTGAAAATGTTCCAGAGATTCACAAAAATGGAAAGACCAAGAAGATGAAAACTTTCCAGGTTCTTTTTAGTTTTTACTTCTTATGTGAAATCAAAATAGTTGCTCTTATACAATATACACGTGTGTTATTAATTTTTATTTTTTATTTATTTATTTTTAATATAGATGAACCCTCCAAGAGATGCGCCCATCAGTTGGTATACAACCACTGCTTTGGAGAAGATGAAGGAACATGGTGCTATCTATCTTACCCCCTTTTCTCATCGATTGGCTGAGGAAATCGACAATGCTGAATATCAGAGGTTACGGTGCAGAGTAAATTATCATGCTCTCAGATTTAAGCCTCATATATTGGAGTTGAGCCATGCAATAGTGAATAGACTACGTGCACAAGGTCGCTTCATGGCAATACATCTTCGATTTGAGATGGATATGCTGTCATTTGCTGGGTAAGTCACGTGCTTGTTGAGGATCACTATATATGATGAATATCATTGGTGGGATTTCTGATTGCTGGTCTTTTCCCTCATTTACATACAGAGCTTAATTGGCTTGGAGACTGTCAATAAACCTACTTTTTTTTTTATGATTATGTAGAAAAGATTAACTGCTAAATGACCATTATTTAAATGGTGGGCCAATATTGTCTAGGTGCTTTGATATATTTTCCCCCAAGGAGCAGAAGGAATTGAAAGAATATCGGGAGAAGAATTTCGCCCCAAAGAAACTTGTATATGATGAGAGACGTGCAATCGGAAAATGTCCTTTGACTCCAGAAGAGGTATATTTTGACTTCGTTCATTCATTGTCATTGTTTTCTTTGTTACCCCTTTGGTTTTAAAAATGTTTGTGTAGAATTGATAAAATGAAATTAAATTTGCTAAAGTTCTTTGAGGTCATTGTTCATGTCCTAATGTTGAGAAAAACCATCATTTTTTTTTGCAGCTGAGTCTTCAATTTATGGCCTTATTATAGAACTTCTTAGTTGAGACTAGAAGTTTAAAGAGACTACCATGCTGAAGTACTGTTCTGTCAGTATCTTAATTTGTTGTGTCCCTGTTCCTAGCTGAAAGATAGACAAATGGCTTAAACCTGTTAGTTAGTACTCTTGTTAATCTTGTTTCATGGCTCACCTTTATCTCACAAATACAAAACATACACAAGCAAATGTTTAAGTGCCTTTCGTTGCATTCAGAGCTGTTCAGTTCTTTCTTGTACTGTGATGCTTTTATTTTTGGTGCCTGTTTCTAGTGAAATTTCTTGCTTACTGCAATCCCATCATACCCATTGAAGGAGGTTTGCTGTTGATTTTCTTGTCTTTTTATGGTAATTGTGGTCACTATGTTGCAGGTGGGTCTTGTTCTTCGTGCAATGGGTTTTGACAACTCCACCAGGATCTATCTTGCAGCTGGTGACCTTTATGGTGGTGAGCGTTTCATGAAACCTTTTAGGTCTCTTTTCCCACATCTTGAAAACCACAGTACTGTTGATACATCAGGACAGCTAAGAAAGAACACACAGGGTATGCTGGGGTCGGCTGTGGATTACATGGTTTGCCTCCTTGCAGATATTTTTATGCCCACGTATGATGGCCCAAGTAACTTTGCAAATAATCTCTTGGGCCACCGCCTGTACTATGGTTTTCGAACAATAATCAGGCCAGACAGGAAAGCTCTTGCCCCTATTTTCATTGACCGAGAAAAGGGGCGCTCTGCTGGGTTTGAAGAAGCTGTGAGAAGTGTAATGGCGAAGACAAGTTTTGGTGGTCCGCATAAGCGGAAGTCCCCTGAATCATTCTACACAAATTCATGGCCTGAATGCTTCTGTCAAATGTCAGCCAAGAATCCTGCTAATAAATGCCCACCAGAAAACAATATGGAGACATTACATAGTCGATTACAGAGTGAGGGCCTCAGTGATTTCTCAGCAACTGAATCAAACTTGACTGTTTCAAAGCGCTGAGAGATGAAAGTTTTGTCTTAATCATTCCTGAAATCAGCAGAGAATATTGGGCGATGTTCTTCAATAGGATCATTTCTACACGAATAGGTTATCTTAGAAAGTGTTTACTTTAATTTCATTAGTGTAAAAAAAAAAGTGGGATATAGGTGATGAGGCTCTCCGGAGCAGGAGTATACTTCTGTAATATGGAAACATTTAGTACGAGTATGTCTGGAAGAATGGAGGGAAAGGGAAATTATTGCCAAGGATCTACCGATCAAATACGTGCAATCAAAATTGTCAATCTGAATTGTGTCATTCTTCTTTATAGGGGCCTAGGGGGGCAACAGAAGGGCCACAACCCCTTTTGTTGTTGAAGATGTGGGTTTGTGGGAATTTCTCGTATCCCTCTTGTAGGTGGGCATGGTTACTTCTTCTAAGGTTTGCAATGACAGTTATTAACTACGAAACTCTGAGTACTGTAACAATGTCATTTTCAGATTAATATAGTGTTATTCTTTTCAATTACGACGTATATTATTGTACTCCCTAATACTTTAGGAGGATTTATTAAGCTTTTGTACCCTCTGCGTGTATGGACAGCAATTTTATGTTTTAAATTTTCAGCATTTCCTAAACAATCGTGAAATGGATACAACTGAATTTACCCCCAAAAAATAAAGCCACAAGAAAAGTTGCTTTCATTGAGAGTCGAACTCAAGACCTCCCGCTTACTAAACGGGTGCTCTAACCAACTGAGCTATGAAAGCAAAGCAATAATTTGTAGCACATTTAATTCCTTATTAAAATTGACTGAATAATTGTATAAAACAATAGGGGGAACCTAAAATAGCCGTTAGGTGGGGCTCACAGACACAGTCAGCGTTTTTATTATAGTTCTTAAATTCTTATTTTATGGTTAAAAAAAAAATTACACTAAGAATGCTGTTCGAGACTAGGAATTGTTTCTTATATTTCCCATATTAACTACGAATTGAAATATTGGCGAAATAGAGTATTCCTTATTATAATCTCCATATCGTCTTCTTCAAATTATAATAGTAATTTTTTTAACCACTTGAAATTTGGAAACAAATTAAATGGTTTGCGGTGAATCAAAGCATGCAATTGCAACGATAGAGTATTTTTGTTGAATATAAAAGTTAAAAAGATAAAGAGCAAAACTACTAAACGTTGATATTAATTTCTTGATAAAAATGAAATACATATGTTCCTTTAAATAAGCTAATGATAAAACAAGCAAAGCTAAATATTAGGAAACCACTACTAACCTAACTACCCTCTCAATAGTAGCAATGAATGTAAACAAAACAAGACTTAGACTAAGTAAAACTCCCCACATTACTTACCTAATTCATGTATAACAATAATGCCATAAACAGAGGAAGTACTAATACTAGGTGGGAAAACATGCCCCATGATTTACTCCACTGACCTACTGATTTTATTAGTAATGTTCATAAACTATAGGAACTAACTTTGAATCATCAATTTTCAACGACTCGTAAGAAGCTAAATTGCAATAGTAGAATGTGTTTATAATTTTTTTTAAAATAAAAAATTACGATTTTTTTTAAAAAAAAGTAATGTAAAACGCCGTCTGAGACAACGTTTTACATATTGATTTTTATTTTTTTTATTAAAAAATCCAGGGTATAAAACGCTGTCCGAGACAACGTTTGTAATAAAACTTACTTTGGAAAAAAATCCAAAGAACGGCTCAATGGTTGCTCACCAATTTGATTAATTTATGATGATATTAACATTCTATCTGAGAGTTTTTAATGCTTCTATTTCTTCTCATGTTAGAAGGACAGCAAATACGACATCTTGTAGCAAGAGTCCAAGATGGGATATTGTAAACATTGCCGGACGTTTTAGGAAACTAAGCTTCGTTACGAAAGTAATTACAAAAATGGTTGCGTGGCAAAAGTATTTACAAAAATAAGCTTCTGGGGTAAACCGCTGCCTCGGGCAGCGTTTTACTTTCTATTTTTTTAAAAAAAAAAAATTCTGCTACAAAAACACTGCCCCAGGCAGCGTTTTTATAGTTTGACTTTTTTTTTCCTCGTTTATTTTTTAAAAAAATTAATTAAAAAAAAAGGCAACAGCATAAAACGCTGCCCCAGGCAGCGTCTTATGCTTAAACATAAGACGCTGCCCCAGGCAGCGTCTTATGCTTGAACATAAGACGCTGCCTGGGGCAACGTTTTATCTGTATATGTTTACAGGTAAAAGGCTGCCCCAGGCAGCGTTTTACCTGGTTGGCAGCACCAAACCAGTTTCTTGCCCCAACCCTCAACATCCTTCCAACACCACCCCCAACCTCCTTCCACCACCACCCCCAACCTCCTTCCACCACCTCCAACCCCTTTCCACTACCGCCCTCCACCACCACCGCCTTCCACCACCACCAACACCTTCCACCACCTCCAACCCCTTTCCACCACCGCCCTCCACCACCTCCAACCATCACCTCCACCACCTTCCACCTTCCACCACCACCGCCTTCCGCCACCACCGCCTTCCACCACCTCCAACCACCACCTTCCACCACCACCTCCAACCATCACCTTCCACCACCGCCTTCCACCGGCTTCCACCACCTTCCTCCACCGCCGTCCACCACCTTCCACCCCGACCTCCCACCACCACAACCACCTTCCAACAACCGTCCACCACCACCTCCAACAACCTTCCACCACCACCACCTCCAACAACCTTCCACCTCACACCACTACCTTCCACCACCACCGTTGACAAGTCAATATATACATAAATCAAAACATATTGGGAAACAAAGAACATAACACACAAATGTTGACCGAAAAACATTTATTATATTAGAAATGTAAATGTTATATACCTAATCTATACAAAAATTTTACTACATGAAATAACTAAGCTAACACTATCCCGATTCATCTATCCGGGGCAATTGATCTAGGTCAGGTTGCTCGGCCCTCTGTCTGACACGCCGCCGCCTGTAATGAGTAATGGTGGTGAATGGGTCTAGAGGCGGCGGGGGAGTCAGCTGGCTGGTATCTGGCACCTCCTGGGAGCCGGACGGCGCAGTGTTGTGGAAGGTGTAGTCCTCTGAGAATGTCGGCGTCGTAAAATCACCTCCACAACTACTCTGTCCGAGCTCGAACTGCGAATGCATCGAGTGGCCATCATACGTGTCCCATTGGGGGTCGAGGTAGTCGTGTCCATATTGACGCAAGCTGGCCATGCCCATATCCCGAACCCGCTGGACCTCGTTCCCGGTGGGCCCGTCAGCCAGGCTAAGGGACAGCGCGTCAACCATCGATGCCATGTCTGCCGCCTGCAATAATCATTGATCAGTTATGCATAGAAACCTATAAAGAGATGAAAATTAATCGGTTGGAAGTGAAACTCACATATCCATAAATCACGTCATATGCTGGATGGTAATGGGTGGAGGGAGGTGTGTAGCTGGGGTTGATGAAACGCCGGGTAATCCGCTGGTACCAGACCATGTACGGATCGTGAGGCTGGAGGACGCCCTGCATCGGTACACCGCCCACAACAAACTCCAGTCGGCGATGCCAGAGCTCTACGTACGCACGATGCTCCACCGACCAATCCGTCTCTGCCTTTCCTCGTCGGTCAATCCCGTGCAAACGAGTGCTGGTGTCACATGGCTGAGGGACCGGCTGACGTATCCCATATTGCCGCAAGACCCGGTCAGGGAGGTGACTCTCCACAACCTCAAAACAGATCACCGGGGTCCGAGCACGCCACTCTGCCTCATGCTCCAGCAAATGACCAGGCATGGCCTCCACTAACTCAGGAAGGTACGGATCCCATGTCACCTGCACATACACATCAAAAAAACGTCAGTGAACGCTAAACACATCAGACAGTAGAATAATGAGTACAAGTGAAGAAATACCTGGTCCTCAATAAGTCGATCGAAGGCGTCTCGGTAGTACGGTAGACTCCTCGCCGCATGGGAAAGTGTGAGTCTAGGGGCAACCCACCTGCATCCGTATGCCTCGTCAGGTGTAGGAAGAGGGGGAGCGTCGTACGCCTGGTACTGCTTGTCTTGATCCAGCTCCCCCGGTCGATGCCTTACTGGCCTACCTGGCCGCCCGACGTGGAGATGCTCCCAAGACCAGAACTGTTACACGAATTAAAACGTAAGTGTTTACTATTCATCTATTAAACTATTACACTAATTGGTGAGTAACCTGAAGGACGACCAAAGGACCTCCGATCTCGATTGCACCACGGTGGGACGCTCGGCATAGATGGCAATACAGTATCGCCAAACAAGCACTACCCCAGCTGTACGAACGGATATGGTCCCAGTCGTTGTCTAACAACTGCAGGTGTAGGAGCTGGAGGTGGCTGCCGCTCTTGTTGCCGAACAACACGCCAGTGACCAAGAAGAACAAGTAAGCTCGGGCGTGTCTCTGAACGGCGGCGTCATCAGCACCGTGATGAAGCTCGCCAAAGGTCTCTCGTAGCCAACCTATCCTCAACCCAGTTCCCCGGATATCTTCGGGAGCAGGCTGAACCCCAAGAACTCGAACTACAAGTCCTACAGGATCGACTAACGGGCGTCCTGTCACTGGAGTCCCGTGTATAGGAAGCCGCGTAAGTATCGCGACGTCACGCAGGGTCACAGTCGCCTCCCGTACAGGAAGGTGGAAGGAGTGCGTCTCTTATCTCCACCTCTCCGCGAGCGCAGTCACAAGCGCTCGGTCGATGGCCCTGAAGGCCATCCGGTGAATTCCTCCAAAACCAGCAAGCTCGATGTACTCTAGGACGCGTGCCTCGACGGCCCACCCCACCATTACTCTGGCTGTGTGGTGCCTGCAAACAAGCGGCTTCGCGGGATCAACCTGCAAATGAAATACATAAACGTAAGTGTAAAACGATAATTTCAAGGAGCATTCTTAAGTATGTTGGCATAGGAAGTAAATGTTACCGATTGATCCCATACGGCAGTAAATGTTACCGATTGATCCCATACGTACCAAAACACATTACACTAAAACACACTAATCCATCTCTAAATCACATCCAACTAACCACTTTGGAACAACTAAGCATCACTAGGTCACCATTAACAAGCAATAATTCTAGAAATTCAAATACTTAACATCTTCAATATTTCAACACCAACAATTCTACATTATCCAAATTAATATTTAACAATCACAATTCATCAACTCAACCCTAAACCCCTAAATTCAACAAAAACCCCCAAAATTCAACATAAACCCTAGAAATTCAACAATTCAAGAAATTCAACAATAACCAATAATTCAACAACACTAACCAACAATTCAACAACACTAACCAACAATTCATGAATTCAACAACACTAACCAACAATTCAACAACAATATCCAACAATTCAATAATTCAACAACACTAACCAACAATTCAAGAATTCAACAAACATAACGAACAATTTGTAAATACTCAACTAATATTTAACCATACCTTGAATTGGATGTAATACGAAATTGGGTTGAAGAGGAAATTTGGGAAGGGAAGGAAGAGGATTGCGACGGAGGCGAAGGAATG